CGCGCAACCTGCCGCCGATCCACATGGGCGCTCCCCCGCACGGTATGCCGCCGCGCCCCGACTTTGCCGCCGGTCTGCCGCCGCCGCCTCCGCCGCACCACCACGACCACCGCCCCGAGCCGTCGTCGAACCGGCAGGCGAGGCGGCTGTACATTGGCAACGTCACCCTCGAGGCGACCGAGGCCAACCTGTGCGGCTTCTTCAACGAAAAGATGCGCGAGCTCAAGCTCAACACCGAGGAGGGCGATCCGTGCGTGGCGGCCCAGGTCAACCCGGAAAAGGGCTACGCCTTCCTCGAGCTGCGCAACCCGGACGAGGCGACCAACGCCATGTCGTTTGACGGAATCGTCTTTCAGTCGCAGTCGCTCAAGATCCGCAGGCCAAAGGACTACACGGGGCCCGACGTCCGACCGCCGCCCAACATCCACGTGCCCGGCGTCATCAGCACCAACGTGCCCGACTCGCCCAACAAGATCTTCGTCGGCGGCCTGCCGACCTACCTCACCGACGAGCAGATCATCGAGCTGCTGCAGTCGTTTGGCGAGCTGCGCGCCTTTAACCTGGTCAAGGAGGCCGGCACGGGCGCGTCCAAGGGCTTCGCGTTCTGCGAGTACGTCGACCCGGCCCTCACCGACCTCGCGTGCCAGGGCCTCAACGACATGGAGCTGGCCGACCGCAAGTTGGTGGTGCAGCGCGCGAGCATGGGCAACGACCGCCGCAACGCCCATGGCGCCGCCGGCACGGGCCCCAACGCCGGCCCGCTCGGCAGCGGCGGCGTGGCCAACCTGCCCCCTTCGCTGCGCAACTTTGCCGGCAACGGCGGCGACGCCGGCGAGCCCACGAGCTGCATGGTGATGCTCAACATGGTGACGCCCGAGGAGCTGCAGTCGGACGACGAGTATGCCGACATTGTCGAGGACATTCGCGACGAGTGCACAAAGTACGGCAACGTGACCGACGTGCGCATCCCGCGGCCCGCCAAAAAGTCCAAGGGCGCCGCCGCCCAGACGTGGAAGCGCACCCAGGAGCCCAGCGAGGACAAAAAGGCCGACGAGGAGCGCGAGGGCGTGGGCAGGGTGTACGTGCGGTACGAAAAGGTCGACGAGTGCGCCGCGGCGCTGCGCGCCATTGCCGGGCGCCAGTTTGGAGGCAGGCTGGTCATCTGCGCCTACCTCAAGGAGGCTGACTGGCCCAGCGACGAGGACGGCGGCCAGAATGCCGAGGACACCGCTGCGCAGGCCAGCGGACCCGGCTTCGTCGACGGCGCCGGTACCGGTGCGGATGCCGATGCCGCCGAGGCGGCCGTGGCCCAGGCCGGCCCCAATGGCCAGGCGCCCGCCCCGGCGCAGCAGGACGATGACGACGGCGAAGCCGACATGGCCATGGGCGACGACGACGACTGATGCGGCGCCCAGGTTCGCCTGGTACCTGTCTTCGGACGGGCTTCACACGCCGTCGACCAGCTCATGCATCTTGCAATCAAAACCACGCCGCCTGATCCTGGCGTGCCCTTCTTCTACCCTGTCAATCCGCCTGCATCGTGGCTTGTGTGTCCTCTGTGTCCTTCTACCTATCCTATTGGTGTGCTCGCATGTCCCTCCTTGCCCTCCTTTTCTCGCCTGTGCTCGCAAGCGCCCTCAACACAGCATAGCAAAAGGGAGGTCGCCGGCACTCCAGACCTGGAAAGGAAGCAAAAAGGATGCATTGACGGGGACTCGAACCCCGGTCGAGTCGAATCGGTTAATCGTCGGATGCTCCGGACGATGAGTGGCAACGACTCATGATACCCCTACACTATCAATGCTCACGTGAATACCGCGCCGATTTTACTATATATACAGGCTGTACTGCAGGTGTGCTAGGGAAACGGGCCGAGAACTGGGACGGTGCGGTCTATGGGACGGACGTGGCCTGTTCTAGGTTCAGACGACCTGGACTGGGACTCCCTGCCACTCTTGCACTGGGGGAGCTCGTTGATCAACTCACGGTGGACGTTACGGAGGGCCGAGAGCGACGGGTGGGGCCACTTGGGACGTCGAGGGGCTCTCGAGCCCGCGTCGACTTGCGCGGCGCAGGCGCAGCGCAGGCGCAGCGCAGCGTACCTCGGGTGAACCCAGCCTTGTCGCTGGCTGCCCTTTGGGCCTGGCTGCTTGCCTGCCTGCTTGCCTGCCTGCTCATCGCCTCTCGCGCCCACTCGCCCGGCATACGCTGCGTTGGTGGTATGTAGGATCGTGCTGGTGCCAGGAACAGGGACAGGAACGGACCGTCACGGTTGGACCGGCTCGTCCCCGCCTGCCAGGCCCTACTTGCGGTCGTAGCCTGTCGAGGGACGCGCGTCTTGCTCCGCTCCGCTCTGCTTGGCTTGGCTCAGCTCGGCTTCTGTGGCTCCGTCTGGTCGGCCGCTCCTGATGCGCGCCTGCGCCACGATGGTGGCGACAGTTAGCTGCAGATGTCGGAGCGGGGGTCCCCGTCCAGAACGACACCTTTGACTTCGGCCCCTCACCGCCCACCGTCGCATTCGCATGGCGAGCCAAAGTCGGTCGGATTCCTGCCCACCGCGCAGCGCGCCCGACAGTCCAACGCAGGCCGCGCACATTTCCCGCCGCCCGCGCACATCTCCCTCCGACCGCGCACATCCCCCTCCGACCACGCAGCGGGCAGTCGTGGTCGACGCTCGTTTCCCTCTGCCTTCAAAAGCTGGCATCGTCGGCGCCCGGGGCTCGCAAAAGGCAAGAGGCCAAAAGAAAAGGGCCAATCGAGGCGAGGACGACTACGACGGCAGGAAAAATGATGATGGTTTCCTGCCCTATGAGAGATTCGAACTCCCGACACTGTTGTAAACCCAAGGGCGCGCCGCCCAATGGAACTTATAAGCCACACACTCTAACCGCTGAGTTAATAGGGCTCGAAAGGGTATTCGGTTTCGTCAAAGGCGAGCCCGAGTTGCGTATATGACGGTTGTCGCGGTGGGGGTATTTTCGGGGGGGGTGGAATTTTGCTGCGGGGGTAGGGCGCGGCAGGCGGAAATGGCCCGTGAGAGGGGGGGGGGGCTTTTACCTCGATCGATGCCAGGTGCCTAGTTATCGAGGTGCTGCGCTGCTCTCGCCTCCGACAGAGCACAGGGCGCTTATCGCGACGCCTCGTTCGTTCAACGGACCGCGCTGTGGCGGGCAATCGCCGCCGATAGCAAGACCAGGCGAGGGGGAGAGGTGGTGGCCGTGGTGGTACAGCAGCGCCGAGATAGGTCTCTCTTGCAGCTAGAGCTAGGCATCTGGGTCGGGCTGAATTCGGCTATCGACGGCGGACGGTGGCATCAATGCGTATGTTGGAGCGAGCGGGCTGTGGACTTCAGAGTGGCCCCTTGCCGGACCCCAAGCGCAGTTGAAGCGACTAGCAGCAAACCAGGCTCCCTCGACTCGCCATCATCGGTGCATTCGACTAGACGGGCACCATCACAGTCACAAGATGCTCGCTCCCCTCTCTTGACGCCACCCACCGTCACCCACGGCACACCATCGACCATCGGACCGACTAGGCCGACGCGGCAGCGACCTCGCGCGCCCTCTGCTGGAAGGCGTGCATCATCTGGGCGCTCATGCGCTCAAACACGCCGCCGGCGACGGTGGCGTAGAGCGGGTTGCGGAACGCGTAGCACAGCCGGAACGTCACCTGCGTCTTTTCGGGCGCGCCCGGCGAAGAAGGGGAGGCGATCGGCTCAAAGGTCCACACGGTCGAGAGGTGCTTGAAGATCGGGTTGGGCTGGACCGCCTCGGCCTGTCGGAGCGGTGCAGAGGGCGCGGGGTCAGTGTGCGTTCGGTGGTGCAGGAGGGCGGCAAGCAGAGAGCAGGCAAAGTGGCGGACGTCGAAGGCAGCCGCGACTCACCGAGACCCAGGCGTCCTTCTTCATCCTGACCTGGCTCGTGTACCGCTCCTGGAAGCTGCCGAACCCGACGCTGAGATCGGCCAGCACAGCCGTGTCGGCGCCGTCCGAGGCCGCCTCGCCGCGCTCGGCCGCCGCCTTGAAGCGCGGCTCGTCGCCCAGCACCGTCGAGCTCTGGCAGTAGGGCACAAAGTGCTCGTACGCATCGACGTCCGAGACGACGCGGTACAGCAGCGGAACCGAGTGCCTGCGCAGGGGATGCAGCGGAGAAGGGGAGGTCAGCATGCGCGAACCTCGCGGAAACGGTACCACAGAGGTCACGGGTATGCTCACGAGAGGATCCGCTGTGTCTCGTAGACCTGCCGCCCGTGCTCATCAGTGTGGCCCGAAGCGCCGTCGCCGGACCCCGTCGCCGCGTTGATGGTGCTCGACGCCAGCTTGCCGAGATCCGGGAGGCTGAAAAAGGATCTCCGGCGGTGGCTGGGCGACAACGACCGCTGCGTCCGCCTGCCTGCGACGCTGCTGAAGCGGCGATGGTGAGGCTGGGTGGTGGCGGCGAACGGGTTGCCAGAGTCGAGCTTGCGTGCTGCGGTCGCCGCTGCTGCCGGATCGGGCGCGCCGGGGCGATGCGAGGGGTGGACGAGGTGAGCCGGGTCGACCTCCGCCGCCGCCGCCTTGGCCGCCGCAGCACCACCCTCTTCTCTCCAGCCAGCCAGCCGGCGGATCTGGAGCGGGTCGATGGGCCCGCGGATCGCGTCGTCCTCGATGGCCTTGCAGACGGCCTTGGCGACCGTGTCGATGTGGAGCGGCGGCGTCGTGAGCAGCTTGGCCAGCGGCCGCAAAGACGCCGGCGTGTAGGCGCTCGACAACAGTGATGCCGGTGTAGGAAGGGGCAGGGGCAGGGGAGGAGACTTGTGGAAGGCGGCCGAGGCCTCGAGGATGGCGGCGGGCAGGGTCGAGAGCGGACGCTTGTGCGGCTCGTACATGAGGCCGGGCCGCATAAAGACGGGCCGAAGCAGCTCGACGGGCAGCGAGTCGGCGGCGGCAGCGGCGCCCACCTCGACCGAAGCAGAAGACGACGCTGCCTCGTCCTGCAGCTCGAGCGAGAGGCCGGCACCATCTGCGTCAAGGAATTCTGCGGGCGCGGCTCTGCCGCTGCTGCCGGCGGGTGCGCGTCGGACCAGGGCTTGGCCATACTGCTCCGACAAGCGGGTGATCATCTTCTCGGCCTGGCGCTTGGTGGTAATATACCGGGCATCGACGACGGGTCGGAAGAGGTCCTCTGCCGAGATGTAGACAAACGGGGCCGGAGAGGGTGGGTCCGAGGTGGAGCCGCGCTCGGCCTGGCGCTTCTGCAGGGCGGAGAGGAAAGTGTGGGCCACCGAGACGGCTGTGGGACAGGTTGGGTGAGAAGGACGATGACGAAACGGACGAGCAGGGTCAGCACCGCTCCTTTGCGCTCGCTTTGGCGCTCGAGGACGATATGCACTCACCCGAGTCGCGGTTCATGACCTCGTACGACATCTGGCGGCGCTTGCCCGAGGTGCGATCATCCTGGAGCGGGTTCTGGGACGAAGGTCCGGCGTAGCCCCATCCCTTTGCCACGCCCTGGAGCGCGCCCCCGATGACGCCGAGGAGGCCCTTGTCCTTTGGCTTGTAGTCTGCCTCGAGGAGGATGCCGACGGTGTGTACGGCGGCGGTGCACTGTGCGGCGAGGTGTGAGTAGGAGGCGGGGTCGAGGGCATCTGCGGCGTGCCAGGAGATGTTAGGCGACGAGGACCACGATGGGCGGTGTCCTGCGGGAGAGAGGTAGGGCTTGCCCGAGGGGCTGATGGAGATGACCTTCCAGCCCTTTGCGAGCGCCTGCTTGGAGATGGCGGAGCCGAGGAAGCCGCTGCCGCCGACGATGAGGAGCGTGTGCTGCAGCGCCATCGTAGCGAGGCGGTGCGTGCACTTTCCCGTGTGCCTTAGCGCGAGTGTTGCAGCGCGTCCAAGGGTCGGTCGCGAGGCGTCAGCGATGGTGGTGGTGGGGGCGATGGCGGTGCGGGCGGGCAACGCTTGCTCGCTACCACCACCACGTACTCGAGTCCGGAAGGTCCGACTTCTGGACTCGACTCGGGTCGGCCGGACGCTTTCTTCTCGTAACCGGGCCCCGATTTTTGTGTGTGGAGCCGGTTTCGGATCCGCGGCCGTTGAGGGTCGAGGGGCGAGGCAGGAGGTCGAGGGGCTGGCTGCGATGCTCGATCGGAGGGCCGACCGAAATTCCTGCCATGAGCCAAGCCCGCCTGCCTGGCTGACGGTGCTTTTTTGGCTGAGCAAAGCAGGCAGGCCAGCAGCGGCTCATCCGATGGGGGCCACAGGCAGGCAGGGAGCCAGGCAGCCAGGCGCCTGTGCGGCCGCGTGGGCCAGGCCAGGCGAGGCCGGGCAAAGGCGGCGGCAGCGCAGGCGGCAGCAGCTGCTGCTGGGCGAGATGCCCAGCGCGGAAGAGGAGCGGACCCTGCAGCGACGCACGGCTGGCAGGCAGCTCAGCAGCGGCTCAACGCTGCGCGCGTATGTAGCGGCGCTAGCAGCAGCAGAGGCCGGCCGGCTGTAGGACCCTTGCTTGCTTGCGCCCCTGCCCCGCTGTGCGTACCGCCTCTACCTGCGCCGTCGGACGGGGTGGTTCAAAGACCGACCACCCGCAAGCCAGGGATAGTTAGAGAGGTTCGCGCTGCTCGTATCCAAGCCATGACGATGGCAGTACTGTAGTAGTGGCGATGCTGGTGGTGTCGAGAGCGGCTTTGTGAGGTTGTCTGAGGTTGCCGGCCTTCGGGGAGATATGTAGGTGGACGGGGTGAACGGAGTGTCCTCCGCTGTTGGCTGCCATCAGCAGGCAGGGCGCCGCTTGCCCCTCTCCTGTCGGGAAACCCTTGCTGCTTGCTTGCTCGTCCTTCCCTGCCTGCTCTTTGCCATATGAGCTCGGCTGCCACCTTGGGCGGCTATTTGTCCAAGTGGGCGTGTAGGCAGGTGTACGACGTTACGTTGAGCGTCGTCCATCGCTCCTCGCCGTACGTCGAGTTTCCCTATGGCCAGTCTCGGCGGCCGGGTGCCATCCGAGACCTCTCTCTTGCCCCCTGGGCTCGCCTAGCGATACTCGCCGTCGGTAACCCTGGCCTGCCTACCTGTCTTTGTGCTGCCCGTCATCCGCGCAGAGGCCAGCCACGACAACAGGCGGCAGGCAAGCGGCCAGGATCTCGTGGCATAAACGAGCGAGCCAAGAAGGGATTTCCACGGCCGCCCCTGCTCGTCGCCGGTGCCTCTTGTTGACCACGACCAAGACCACGACCACGACCCCGACCTCGACTCGATCTGCCCCTCGACCGCCTGGCCCTCCTGCTCCAACCCTAGCGAGATCCTCGCCGACGCGCCCTCCTCTGGCCACCCGCTGCCCCCTTTTCGGCCCGCCACCGTCCCACGCTATCCTGCCGCACAGCGGTCACGCACGTACGGCTGATCCGTCCCGCTCACCTCGTCAGCCTCAGCGGACAGACGAGCAGCGTGTTGCGCCGGTGTCGGCCACTTTTGCGCCCCTTTGGCCGCCTGCCCAAGCCGTCCTGGCCATCCAATCACTCGCCTTGCCAGTTGCCCCTCGGGCCAGCTCCTCCTTCCCTTTGCTCTTGGCTTCTCTCCTCTCCGCCCCGTCTCCTGCCTCGTCTGGTCCGCCTTCGGTATCCTCTTACCTAGATGCCTCCATCTCACTCGCCATCGCAGGAAGCCCTCCGTTCCTCGTTCAACCAGCACGCCTCCTACCAGTCCCACGAATCCACCCCTCGCCAGTCGGTCGCAGACCTCGCGCATCCCTCGTCGTCATCCTCGGCCGCCGCAGCCGCCCGCAACTCGGCGTATACCCACCGCTCCACGGCGACGACGACGACGACGACGACCGACTCGGAGGACAGCGACTTTGACGTCGCAGACGACCACCAGCCCTTCCTGGGCAGTCAACGCAGCGATCCGTCCTCTTCCGCATCGCGCACCGGCAAGGCAAAGGCAAAGTCCCTCTCCCGCCCCTCTTCCTCGTCCCGCCCCACGTCGCTCAACAAGCGCTCCAGCACGACATCCATCAAGATGCAGCGCACCGCCTCGTACAAGTCCCAAAAGGACAGCACAGAGGGCGCCGCCGCCGCCAATGCCGAAGTCGACGGCGACGGCCCGCGCACCACGGTCCGGCGCGTCGGATCGCGCGCCAGCGTCGAGGGCGAGCTCACCTTTGACGACATCTTTGACCCGTCCAAGACGCTCGCCGAGAACAAGAGCCTGATGATCAGCGCCGAGATGGACCGGATGGGGATGAAGCGGTACGCCTGGTGCATCTGGTTCCTCTGCGGCTGCGGCTACTTTATCGACCTCCTCTGGGCCCAGGCGCTCGGCCTCATCGCCACCCAGATCAGCTACGAGTTCTATGACGAGACAAACGGCGGCAAGACGGGCCCGCTCCAGACCGCCTTCAGCACCGGTCTCACCGTCGGCGCCTTTGTCTTTGGCCTGGCCGTCGACGTCGTCGGGCGCAAGTGGTCCTTCTACCTGACCACGTTCATCTCGGCCATCTTTGGCATCGCCGCCGGCGGCGCCAACTCGTTCGACACCCTGTGCGTCCTGGCGGCTTTCCTGGGCTTCTCGATCGGCGGCAACATCCCCATCGACGCCACCATCACCCTCGAGTTTCTGCCGACCAATCGCCGCTTCCTCGTGGCCGCCCTGAGCCTGTTCCAGCCGCTCGGCGTGCTCGTCTGCTCGGGCATCGCCTACGGCTTCATCCCCAAGTACTCGTGCGAGTCCCAGGAGGGCTGCACCAAGGCCGACAACATGGGCTGGCGCTACACGCTCTACACGCTGGGCTGCATCACCTGGCTCATCTTTGTCGGGCGCTTCTTCATCTTTAGCTTCCGCGAGTCGCCCCAGTACCTGCTGGCGCGCGGCGAGGACGAAAAGGCGCTGCGCATCGTCTCCTCGATCGCCAAGACCAACAAGGCGCCGCCGCCGCTCTTTACCCTCGACGACTTCAACGAGGCTGCGCGCAGGCTCGGCGTCGAGCAGGTCGACGGCGAGGCCGTCAAGGCGGCCCGCAAAAAGGAGACGCGCATGGAGACGGCCAAGCGGTCGGCCAAGGACATGTTCAAGCTGTTTACCAACGCCAAGACGCTCTTTGCCAACAAGACCATGGCCCGCGTGACAATCATCATCTGGATCACCTTCATTGCCGGTACGTGTCGCGCCGACGCTCGGTCGTCGGGCTCGGCCATGGTGATTGCCTGCTTGCAGACGCCGACCGCTCACCGCTTTCTCTCTACCCGCCGACGCGTCTCTTCTCCCTCACTCGCACTCGATCGCCAACAGACTTCTGGGGCTTCACGCTGGCCGGCTTCTACCTGCCGCAGATCCTGCGGGCCAAGGGCGCCGAGCAGGACACGTCGATCTCGACGACGTACCGCAACTACGTGCTCATCTACTTCCCGGGCATATTTGCCGTTGCGTTCGGCGCCGCCATGATCGAGGTGCCTAGGCTGGGCCGGCAGTGGGCCATGGTCGTATCGTCGGCCCTGATGGCCGTCAGCTTCTTCCTCTTCACCATCGTCAACTCCCAGGCGGCGTCTGTCGGTGAGTCCCGCCGCTGCGGCCCACGGGGCGGCCACCCACGCACTCGTCGCCCGAGTCTCTGACACTCTCCTATCCTGCGCCTCGATGCAACGACGATTGCAGGCTTCAACGCAATGGAGTACTTTTTCCAGTCCCTCTTCAACTCGATCCTCTACGCCTTTGTCCCGGAAATCTACCCTTCCCAGGTGCGCGGGACGGCATCGGGCCTGGCGTCGACGCTGGGCCGCATCGCGGGCATCGTTGCACCGCTGGCCGCCGACTCGTTTGACGCTTCCGACCCCGAGCAGCAGGCCAAGAATATCCTCTACCTCGCGGGCGGCATCACGCTCCTCTGCCCCGTCGCTCTTGCCCTCTTGCCATACGACACCAGGGGAGCCCGCCTGCACTAGAGGGCATGCCCGAGACGGAAAAGAACGAGGAAGACACGTGGTCCCAAGATGGCCACCTCTCGACTGCCGGAAAGAACGAGCAGCAGCAACGACCACGACCATCCACGACCAACATACACGCACGCTGTTACCCCTGCTCCTCGTTCCAGATTCGCCCTCTCTCACCTTGCACACGATGCGCGATAGACTATCTCATTACGTTACGGACGGATGGACGCCCCTGACGCTGTCTGCGGTCGCGTGTACCATGTCTGTGTCTGGATCGCGTGCCGGATGATGACGGTCCCCGTCGCTGCCATTCCATCAAGGTCGGATGTAGGCCAGGGGCACACGACAAGCAGCGGTGGGCGTAGGAAGCTTTCTCGGGCTTCTTGCGGCGGTACAGGCTGTCAACTCAGGGTCAGTGTGGCTGCAGCAGGGCGAGGGATTGAGCATCGAGCTCGTTGGAGTGCTCCGTCGCTAGCCACCTCACTCAAACACACTATCCTGACGGTGCGTCTAGTAGTAGGGTATCGAGCCGGAGCACTCGAGACGCGTTCAGACCTTGGGCAGACTGCAGGGGACTGATGCTGCTGTTCTCGCGCGAGATTTGTCGAGTCGAGGGCGAGCGGGATTTGGTCGACTGGGCTCTGGGTGCGAAGCTTTCCTCCACCTGCCGCCGTTTGGCCGTCTGCGTTTTTGGTTCTGGCTGGCGCCGCGTCCCTTTGGTTTCTTTCCACCATCGCCCATAGCCCACCGCCTCTCCTGCCATCACCACCGCTAACGCATACCCTCCGCGTCCCTCTGTCGCGGAGATCACCACGACGACGCCTCCGCGCGCACACCGACGACCATGTCAGCGCCTCCGCCGCCCCAGCTGGCCCCGCCCTCGGCTTCGGTCTGGGTCGAGTATCGCAACCCGCAGGGACGCCCCTACTGGTACCACACCATCGACAAGCGCAGCGTGTGGGACAAGCCCGTCGAGCTAAAGACGCCCCGCGAGCGCGCCCTCGACTCGACGCCGTGGAGAGAGTACAAGTCTGGCGACCGCTCCTACTACGTCCACGCAGAGACCAAGCAGTCGACCTGGACGTTGCCCCCCGAGGTCAAGCAGCTCCTCGAGCAGTTTGGAGGCGGCGAATCCACCCCCTCTGCTGCTGCGGCGGCGGCCGCGCCACCTCTCGTCGGTCCCAACGGCAGCGTCACACCCCATGGCGGCACTCCCTCGCTACCCGCTGCAGCCAGGATGGGCGGCGCCAGCGGCGGCCCGGGCATGGCGTCGCCCATGGCCCACGTCGCCTCGCCCTTGGCGCCCGGCTTCAGCGCAGCCAGCCCCATGCACCACCAGCAGCACCATCCCATAGACCCTGCCGCCGGCCCCGTCCGACCTCCGCCCGGATACGGTGCTGGCCCCGGCTACGGCCCCGGCGGACCTGCTGGCGTCCGTCCCCATGGCCCGCCTCCAGGCTTCTCGCCGCCAGGGCCCGCTTCGACGACGATGCCCGTCCGACCGTCTCCGGGTGCGGCTGCCTTGAGCCCCCTCGGCGGGTCGGCGAGCCCGGCCGGCACTCCTCTCCAGGCTTCGACGCCGGTCACGCCCGCAGTCACCAGCCTGCCCCAGCGCCCGCCGCCCTCGACGGCCGTCCGGGCCGACCCGGGGGCCCCTTCCGCGGCGACCAGAACTCGGCCGAGGCGGCATTTATCTCGCTCCTCGAGCAAAAGAAGGTCGACGTCGACTGGACGTGGGAGGTGACGATGCGCGCCATCATCACCGAGCCGCTGTACAAGGCGCTCAAGACGATCGCCGAGCGCAAAAACGCGTTTGCCAAGTACATTGAGCGGCTCAAGAGGCAGCGGGCCGAGGAGAGGGCGCAGCGGCTCGAACAGCTGCGGCCCGTCTTCCGCGCCATGGTGACCGGCAAGGACTCGCGCGTCAAGCCGTACCACAGCTTCGCCACGTTCAAGAAGCTCTGCGGCCACCAGCCGGGTTTCCGCGAGGCGCGCGACGACGACGAGGCGCGCGCCGCCTACGACGCCGTCATCCGCGAGGTCCAGGAGGCCGAAGCGGCGTCGCAGCGCGAGATCCGCCACCGCAACATGGACATGCTCATGTCGCTGCTCAAGACCTTCGAGGCCGACGTGCTGACGCGCTGGCGCGACGCGCACCGCACCGTGCTCGAGTCGGACGAGTACGCGCAGGATGCGCACCTCAAGACGATGGACGTGGCCGACATGCTCATCGTGTTTGACGAGCACATGAACGGCATCGAAAAGGAGGCGACCGAGGCGCAGCGCCGGCAAGAAGCGGCGCAGCGGCGCAAGGAGCGCAAGAACCGCGACGAGTACAAGAAACTCCTCGTCGAGCTCAAGGAGCGCGGCGAGCTGACGACGCGCAGCACGTGGGGCCAGGTGTTTGACAAGGTCAAGGACGACGGGCGCTTCCTGCGCCTCGTAGGCCAGGCCGGGTCGTCGCCGCTGGACCTGTTTCACGACATGGTCGACGACCTCGACCGGCTCGTCGAGCGCCACATTGGCGCGGTCCAGGCGCAGCTGGCCAAGACGGGCAACGAGGTCAAGCAGACGACGACGTACGACGAGTTTGCATCCTGGCTCGCGCCCAGCGGCGCTCGGTCGCCCCCTTCTTCGTCTTCGTCGTCGTCGTCGGCGGCGGCGGCGGCATCGAGTCTGCCGGGCGAGGCGGACCTGCGCGTCGTCTTCCACCACCTGCACGCCACCGTGATGCAGCGCTTGGCCGATGAAAGGCGCCGGGCGGAGCGGCGCCGACGCCACGCCATCGACGACCTGCGGTACGCGTTCAAGAAGATTGACGCGCCGCCGCTCGACGTGGATGCGCCGCTCGACGAGGTGCTGCCGCGCCTGGCGGATCTGAAAGAGTACCGCCAGCTCGAGGGGGATCGGGAGGCGGTCGAGGTGGCGTGGGACAGGTTCGTCAAGAGGCAGAGGGAAAAGATGGGCGCGGCGAGGGGCGGTCGGAGGGAGTCGGTTGGTTCGGTCGGTGCTAGGGGGTTGGAGGATGAGGAAGGTGGTGGGGCGGCGAGGAAGAGGAAGGATCGTCCGTCATCTTCCTCGGCGGGGGTGCATCAGCGTCATCGCGCTTCCGCCTCGATCTCGCCGTCCAGAGTGGGCGGTGATGAGGAGATCGTCACCAGTGGAGGAGGTGGTGGTGGATCAAAGAGGGATCGGGAGAGGGACACGTCGAGGCGATACGGCCATGCGTCGAGACGCGATCGGCCCCGTTCGTCCACCACCACCACCACCACGACGACGGGGGCGGGGGTGGGGGATGCATCGAGACGTCGTGAGGACCAGGAGGGGGAGGAAGAGGAAAAGAGGAAGAGGATCAAAATCTCCTACCCCGTCGCCGCCGCCTCCAGGGAGGGCCAGGGGGCGGCGCGCGGCGGCGATGATGAGAGCGAAGAGGAGGAAGGTCAGGTCTAGCTCGGTCTCGTTCTCTGTCCCTGTCTCTGTCTCGAGTCGGGGCAGTGGGGCGGTTAGATCGACTCCGGCCCAGGTTCAGGTCCAGGTCGAAATCGAGGTGGCTTGATTCGCGCGCGCGCGCTCGCTCGTCGACGCCATATCGAGGTTCGACAAGCCTGGTACATTGCGTAGCATGCCCCCACGCGCTAGCTTAGGTTGGCAAACAGAGGCGAAGAAGCCAGACGTATGAGAGGGCAATCGTCGAATCGAATCGAATCGAATCGAATCCGAACCCAAGTCGTTTTTTCATTCTCCCAGTCTCTCGAGTCGACAGCATCGACCGGTTCGCACCTCAGCCGGCGACGACGGCGGGGACGGCGGGGGGCATGACCGTATCCTGGCCTTGCATCGCACCCGCATCCGCACCTTGGTCGCGCTGTACCGCATCCGCATCCCGTCCAGCAAGGACGAGCAGATCCTCGAATCCGTAGCGCTCCGCAGCGCCGCGTTTACGAACCTCGACGAGCGTCTCGTTGAGGTAGCGGCAGAGGATATCGTTCTGCCCGGCCTCGTTGGCCAGGTCCTCTTCGACGGCCAGCATCGCATCCATGAATCGCTGCGCTGCATCCACCGCCCAGTCTTGCCCCTGCCCCTGCCCCTGCCCCTGCCCCTGCCCCTGGACCGAATCGTCGGCCCGCCCCGCCCCGCCCCTGCCGCCGAGCGCACAGCGGCACCCGCTCCCGCGTGGCCGCCATTCGACGCTCCGCCTGCTGCGGCGCTCAGCGACAGTCGAGCCGTTCCACCCATCCCACTCCCGCCGTGGCCGGATCGGTCCAAGGCAAAATGCGAGGGGAGCGGCAGACCAAACTTGTCGTCGCCCTCGCCGCGTAGCGTCTGCCCCAAATCCTCACCGCCACCCGCTCCACCCGCACCGCCCACGCCGTCGTCGTCGGCACTCCGGATGCCGGCCTTGTCGAGCACCGCGGCCGCGTTGCGCGTCAGCATGCGCAGCACCAGCAGCGACACGAAGGCGATGCCCTGCGGCGACGGGCTGTCCTCGGGCCCGTGCGACGGCGTTCGCGCCACCTCAAACGTCAGCACGCCGGGGTTGTCGACCGTGCCCGACGCCGGCGTCGCCGCGCCCTTGGCCACGACCGCCGCTGTGAGGCCAGCGCCCCCCGGCATCGGGCAGCGGCAGCGGCGCCGCGTCGCTGCTAGCCTCGCGCTTGGCCTTGATGTAGCGCGAGCCGTTGGGCAGCGTCTTGCGCTCAAACTCGGCCGGCTCGCCCGAGTGCTGGCGCGCAGCCTCGACGACCGTGGCGGCGGCGGCGGCGGCGGCCTTCTTCGCCTCGCCCGAGGCAGCCGCCTTGGTTGCCAGGTCTGGCAGGTGCGTCAGCACATGCGCACGGAGCTGCTGCCGCCTGGCGTCGTCGCCGTCGTCGGCGGCGACGGCAAAGTCGCAGCTGAGCCACTGGCACTCGCCGTCGCGCGAGAAGCGGACGTGGGTCTCGGCGTGCTCGCGCTGCGCTTCGGCCGAGCGCGTCGCCTTGGCCGGGCAGCTGCGCCAGCCGCACTGGAACGGCTCCGACAGGTCGCGCTCGCGCACCTCGATGCCGCGGATGACGAAGCGCGGCTGGGTGCCAGGCGCCGTGGCGGGGACCACCATGGCCGCCGCGCCGGGAAACACGTGCGACACGGCCCGGATCAGGTCGGCGGCCGGCTGCAGCGGGGCGGCCAGGTTGGCTTGCGCCAGCGCAAAGAACTCGTCCTTGTACGCTGTCCAGAATTCCATCTGCGTCACCTCCTTTTCCATGTTGCCGCTGAAGACGATCTTCATCCTGCGGCGGCAAGGAAGGACGGGTCGACGACGGGGGGGATGAGCGCGAAACGAGCACGATCAGCAAGCGGGTTGCAGACTCGGCAGGCTACGCTCGCGGGCTCTCTCTCTCTCTCTCTCCACACAGGCCACTCACCATTCGACGCCGCGTTCGGGCTCGTTGAGCGCGACGAGGGCCTGCTTTTCCTTGCGCGTCAGCCGCTTCTGCTTGGCGCGGTCCTCGGCCGTCTCGTTCTGGCGGCGCAGCCGGGCCTCCCTGTCCTTGCGGGCCGCCTCCCTGGACCGGCCGGGTACCGCAAACGACCACTCGCGGTTGAGCGAAAGGCGGTGGTCGCGCTCCCAGATCGTCTTGCCGACGGTCAGGTTGCGCACCAGCAGCCGGACCGTGGCAAACGTGCGGGCAAAGCTGCGGGCCGAGGCAGACGCAGCGGCGAGCGCCTTGGCCGCTGGTGGCAGGGATGCGACGGCGGCAGAGGTGGCCGCTTTGGTGACCGAGGCCGGCGACGGCGTCGGGGGCATGCGTGCGGCCAGGCGCAGGCCATTGTTGCCGATGCAGACCAGCTGGTAGACGAGGTCGAGGGCCGCCTCGATCAGCTCGGGGTCCTGCGTCAGCGGCAGCAGCTCGATGCAGCGCGTCAGCAGCCCGGGCGACTGGCGTCCACCGGGCAGCTCGGCCTCGACAAAGGCCGACTCGTTCCTCTCCGAAGCCGACATGGCCGAGAGGCAGCGCAGCGATCCGAGCAGAAAGGCGCGGTCGGCCGAGTTGTGGGCCATGTCGAGCAGCTGCAGGAAGATCTCATCGGCGGCGCGCAGATTGCCCGCGAGGTTGGGGATGGGCAGGATCGGGACCTCGCGGCGGTGCGGGAGGTGCTGCAGGTCGTCATCGGCGTCGCTGCTGCTGGCCGTCTTGCAGCCGGCGAGGCCGGGCGCTGCGATGGAGAACTGGGCGCGCTGGCTGAGGTGCAGCCTGGGAGCAATGCCCTCGAGAATATCGAGGAAGTGAAGCCGCAGCTCGGTCACGCCTTCGAGCTCGAGCCACTCTTCGCTCTCGGCGCGGGGCCGTCCGTCGGCGTCGGCGTCGCGGACCAGGACCATCGAGGGCAGGGCAAGCACGTCGCGGATGAGGGACTGGACGCCGCGGATCGAGACGAGGTGGCGCGCGTTGGCCGAGTGCATGGTCATGTTGCGCAGGATGAGGGCCGCCTCGAGGGCGCGGCGCATGAGGGCGGCGTGGGCCGGGATGCGGGCCGGGTCGAAGCTAAAGTCGCGGTACGCCTCGAGTTCTTCCTCGTCGTCGTCGTCGTCGGTGTCTGCGTCGTCGGCGGCGGCGGTGGATGTGATCAAGGCGCCGATGCGGGCACGGCGGCGATGGATCGACGAGGGCATGAGGAGCAGCCTCCTGCGCACGCTGCTCGACTGGGCGAGCGAGGGCTGGTGCGGGATGCCGCGACCGCCGACGAACCAGGTGGCGCCGGCCTGATGGTCGCCGTCGCTGCCTGCGCCGATGCCGACGTCGTCGACTCCCGGTGGCTGCTCGAAGTCGGGGCCGTCCCACGCCTCGGTGGGTTCGGCGTTGATGGCAGCGCAGAGCCTGCGCGGGTAGGCGAGGAGGGCGTCTGCGAGGCCGCTGACCTTTTCAAAGGGGAGTACGTGGTGCTTGGACAGCGAATTTGCGGCGAGGCGGGAGAGGGCCCAGTCGATCTGGGTGTTGAGGCCCGACTTGAGCGAGAGGAGGAGGCGGTTTGTAGGGGCGTGCTCGAGGTAGGGTGCCTCGTAGCCGTCGCCGATGATCTTGCGCGGCCGCTTGCGCGCATCTGGGGGAGCGTCGGCGGCGCGGTGGGTGCGGCTGTGCCTCGGGGGCGCCGAGGTCAGGGGAGTCGAGGCCGAGGGCATGGGATGGGAGGGACGGGCGGGGAGCGGGCTTGCGGCGGCGGCGGGCGAAGCGGATGCGGGGGAGCGAGGGGCGTGCTGCTGAGGGTGCTGGAGGTGCTGGAGGCGGTTGTGCTGTGGCAAGGGGTGAATGGGGCGGTTTTGGGCCGGGGTGCTGGGGAAGGAGGATGGATGCGGAGGGTGAGGTTGGGCGGGGATGCTGTGGTGGGGGGTGAAGTGTTGCGGTGGGAGTTGTTGTTGCGGGTGGTGTTGTGAGGGTGCTGCTGGTGGTGCTGGTGGTGCTTGGATGGGGTGCGGCTGCCTGTGGTGCTGGTGCTGGTGCTGGTGCTGGTGCTGCATCTGCATCTGCACCTGCATCTGGGCGGCGTAGGCAGGGTGGGCTGCCATCTGGCTGGGCTGGCCGCGAAAGGGGGTGCCGCTGGGGGTGCCCGGGTAGGACATGGTGAGGGTGAGTGTAGGCCTGTGTACGCGTCAAGATGGCCGCTGGTGGCGATGCGCAAAGACGGCCCCAGCGCAAACGGCGAGCAAGGAGGTAGAGGCCGGGTAGGTGGTGATGGTGGTGGTTGGCGGTCAAGAGGGCGTGTGGGCCGACGAAGAGCCGCTGTGCCGCTGTGCCGCTTTCCGCGCCCGTCGGAGCGCGCCGACAACGCGTCGCCCGCCGCTTTGGCCCTTTTTGCACCCTCGGCAGTCGGCAGTCGGAAGTTGGAAGTCAGAAGGGCTCGCCCGCTGCGCCCCAGAACGATGCGCTCGCTCCCAAGGTTGAGCGGCCAGACCAACACACCAACACTTGGCTCTCCGCTCCTCGACGCACACCCTCCACGCCTAAACGCTGCACCGCCATCGACCGGCCAACCATCGACAGAGGGACGGCATGCAAATTACAGAACAGCACACCGAGCAACACCACCAAACGCCCCCCACCCTTGGACGCCATGCCCGCCGGCTAGCTCAACACCGGTCCACCGCTGCGCTACTCTTGCATCCGCACCCCCAACCACCAAGGCCATCATCGCAGCATCGCGGCACCGCGGCATCTCAGCAACGCAGCCGCACGTCACACGGCCACCATCACACACGCAGGCATCGGCGCACACATCGTGCCGCACCGCCCATCAGCTAGATCGGGGCCCTTGACGAGCTCAACGCGCAAAGACAGGTCAGGCCAGGCCAGGCCGCCACACCGGACTCCGACCCTCGTCGCCTGGCCCGCTCTCACGACCCGACTCGCGACCCAGTCTCGCGCCAGCATCGTATTGTCCATGCTGTGCCGCTCTTCGGCTCTGTCGCCGCATGCCTTTCACCTGGAACGGCTGCCTGTTCTTGTGCCATGTCTGCCGCCACGATGCTGTCCTCCTTTCATCGCTCCCCCATTGCGGCTCCCGCTCTCCCTCGCGCATATCGCCACCAGGCTCTAGGTCCGGCCATCGAGCCGCTGTGTTATGTCCGGCGCACGGTCCGGACAATCGGCCCGTCGGAAGCAGGTACAGTGCGACAGCAGACCCACAGCTCTGCCAGCACACACCTCCGCCCGTCCGCCCGAGGTCTCGGCGCAGTGTCTCGCATGGGCCAGACCGCTCCCGTCATGTGAACCATGGGCGCACAAAACCTACCCACGGCTCGTGTCAGGGCCAAGGGCGGCGGCGTCCATCGACAACCGATCCTGCGCTATCTTGCTGCCCTCGACGACGTCGCAGCAGCAGGATGCCGCCACACGGAGCCAGCGGTGCACCGGCGAGATCGCCGCCCATGATGCCATGCCGACACTCGAGCCAGGCTTGCGCAGCGCCAGGGGGCGGAGTCACGGAGCTACTACTGTAAGAGCCAAGCAAGGCCAAGAGCAACACCCGGGCCTCCGAGGTCCGGTCCAGACCGATCCGAAAGGGCCACCTCCATTCGCATGCGCAGCGCCCACCGAATTCGCAATCACCTCGACGCCACTTTTCGCACGACCCCGCACCCGACAGCCGAGCCCGGAAAGCGTACCGTCATCGCACGAAGGTGTCGTCGTCGCACCCGGCCCCACCCAGGCGTCCGGAAGATACCAGCAGCAAGAGCAAGGCGAGACCGTGCCGACGTGCGATGCAGGCCATCTGCCCGCTGCACGCCGCGCAGGGCTGGGCGCCATCGTCGTCGTCGTCGTTCGGGTTGCGAGCAACAGATGGAAATGCCCGCCAATCAGGGGGGTTTCGGCATCATCCCGTCTGGTTGCAGGGTGCCAGAACCGCGCAGCGGGCAGCGGGTAGCGGGTACGTTTGGAAACCCGGCTTTGCCGACGATTCCCGTGCGACGGACGATCGACGAGATAGGGCTCGCTCCGAAAAACAAAGGGCCGAGAATTGCGGTGAGCACACAACAGCACAGTCCCACGTCGTTCCACTCCCGGTCGGCCGATGGCGACGCGCCTACGTCCGATGTTCGCATCACGCCACGACACGCTCGAGGTGGGCAAGGTAGGTAGGTGGTCGCGGGTACTTTGTCATCTCTTGGCGGTACCGTGCAGCGCAAGACGGGGTCCGATTGCGAGCGGAGAATCAACGAGACGATCCGCAGCCATGCCACCGTACCGTGTATGGATGGTCGCATGAGATTCACAGCCACTTGAACGTCCCGCGTCGAGCGTCGAGGGATCCGACTGCTTGGTAGGTGCGCTGACGGTGGTATCCAGACCTGGTCCGGCGCCGACGACGGAGGGCTGTGTCTGGCACCTTGGTCGTCGAGACGTCGGCCGAACCGCTGCAGTACCAACTTCCCTCAAGCCTCGATCAAGCCTCGATGACCAGCCCCAGCCAGGCGTGCAGTCGTGAGTAAAAGTCCGGGTACGGGTTCGGGTTCGAGACCTTGCCTCCCTTTCTCCCGTCCCCCGTCCCCCCTGGCATGCAAATTAGACGACATAGATGGACGCCACAGTCATCCTCGCAGCGGCAGCGGCATCACCACCATCGACTCCGCCCAACGAGCCATTGTTGGCGCTTCCCGATCTCGGCGCCTTCCTATCTCGGCCCACCCAACAATGTTGCTCGAAGACGTGCGCGTGCGTCAACGGCGTCAGGGGCGTCAGGGGCGTCGCTATCTGTCCGTCGCTTTCACCTCTTAGGTGGCAGCGCAGCTTGTTCGGATCACGGAAGTCGGAGCGCGGCGCCGCGCGGCGCGGGTCCGTGGGATGGCTGGGCTTGCCCGTGACAATTGAGGAGCCGAGACGAAAGGAGGCAGCCTGCCCTGGGCTCGGCATCTTGGCAAGGAAGCGCCATTCGCCTCCTCCTCGCCGTCTTGCAGAGCCACAATCACGACGACGCTGCCCGAACAACATACGTGCGTCAAGTCCACCAGCCTAGCGAGCGACCGCTCGCTTGCTGGGTAATTGGTGTTTTTGTTTGGACCCAACCCGGGCCTGTGCACGTCCGAGTGCGGATCAATCTCATCCGCATCCGCATCCGCGCCTCGTTGCCGCTGCACGGTCTGCCTCGCTACGATGATCAAGACGACCAAGACGATCAAGCTGAGGCCAGAGCAGCTGGTTCTTTGTTGGCGAGACGAGAGCCGAGGGGTCGAGACTCCCTCGATAGATTCCTAGCCAGCTTGCTTGGCTTCGAACGAAGGTGTCTCGCTCGCTCGCTCGTCTCGGCAGCGAGGCGTCGCCAACCCACCCTCGGCGCTACAGCACTCTGTCCGCTCGACGATGGAAGGGCAGGATTACGGTAGGAGCAGGAGCAGGAGGAGGTACAGTAGGTCGATTTTGAAATTGGACCGGACGTCGCAAGTGGTTCCCAGGGCGGCCGGGCTGTGCCACGGTTCGGCCGGCGCGTCGGTGGCGATATCGGCTTCGGCCCGAGACGTGACGTGACGTGACGCCGCGTGGTGTTGCGGCTTTTTTTCCTGTCCCCTTTCCCCGGCCGGTGCAAATACCCTACACCATGTTCCAGCTCGGGCAACGAACAATGGCATCCCCATGAAATACAGTGGTGGTGGATGTAACACCTGCTCTCTTGACAGCTGAGGTTCGATGAGATGCTCGGGCTTGGAGCGATCGTGAAAGAGAGGCGGGTGGGGAAAAAGAGGGAGGGGGGGGGGGGGGGGGGGAAGCGTCGGCTCGGGAGACGGACAGTTACCATCGGGTTCGAAGCGGCCTGAGCGGTCAAACGGTGCCCGCTGCCGGCCACCAACGACGATGCCGAGACCTGTTTCGCTGCGGTCGTGCCGCCGTTATAGACGAGGCGGGCGACGAGCAGGTGTGAGACCTCCATAGGCAGCTCAGGGTCGCGTGCAGTAGCGTCGGGTGAGTGGGAGAGCGGGCGGGCGCCTCTAGATCCCTGCCTGTCTCGTCGTGCGCAGACTGTCGCAGCCATTCTATTCGATCTCCAACGAGCGTACGAAGCTCTGAGGTGGCATCCGGACTGACGGAATCGCGCGACCTTGGCATGGGAAGAGGCCGACGGAGCTGCACACCATGGTTTGGCACGACGCCCATCGATGGCACATACCCCATGATGAGCGTGAGCGCTGTGCTGCCGCGGCGCGATGCGGTGCGGTGCAAGGTACGTTGTTTGTCCCATCCGACGACAATGGACAAGTCTTTGTCGTCCTTGGCACGGCACGGCATGCACATCGACGACGACGTCGAATGCCAACCGAGCAAGATCCCTGTTCTCCGGACAGATGAATCGACGCCCGACGCCCAAAGTCGACTCGGTTCTCGTCCGCCCCACGATGCCAAGGCTGAAGGTGGACGATCCAGTCCAGTCCAGTCTGAGCCAGGCATGGACAGAAGTAGCGATCTGAGGTACTGTACCACGTTTGAACTTTTGCACTCGCATAAAGACGCCAGCAAAGAGGCAGGGGCAGGCCGGAGCATTAGTGCGCATTCTCCGGTAGACTTCCTCGCTTTCCCCCCTCCGCCCTCGCCTCTCCCCCAGCGCGGCGGGGCGAGGTGTTCTTCTGTTCGTGACACATACATCTGGTCCGTACCATGCTTTCGAGGTGCAAGGGGGGGCAGGGATCCAAACAACAAGGTTGGACTACCACCGTGCGTGCCCTGCGTCTGCTCGTACATGTGCTTCGCTCCACGAAGCGGCACCTCGAGGTGTTGCTGTGCTGTGCCGTGCGGTGCTGGGCTGGGCTGTGTGCAACGTGCTCGCAAGCCCCACGGCGTCGCTGCAGAGGCTGCCGCTGCAGGTCGCACACGACCTTGCTGCCCTACGGGACGGCACCGCTCAGAAAGACCAGCGCAAGGACATAGCGGTCCGGCGTGCTGTGCCGCGCCCATAGTCGATCGTGAATCCCACCGAGATCCGATCTAGAGCGATGTTGAACCACGGACCAGAGTCCCGACGATATGGTGGTGGTACCGGTACCGGTACCGCAGAGGGATGGCATCGCCTCGTCCGACGAAGGCCGAAGTGGAAGAGGAGGGTCCTGGCTCGCCTAGCCTCTCGTGGCCTCGGTCA